CCCCAAAACCCCAAAACCCCAAGGTCAATAAATAGAGAAATTTTAATGGTTAAATTTTCTGAATTAAAAATAAATGTCAATTTTCCCTAGAAAATATATACCTAGGAAAGGAATGCATTTAATTAAATAAGTAATTACAATTTGAAAAGTTCATAAACCTTTAAAAGCTCTTCCTTATTTCCACCAACGTATAATGCTTATCAAATAATAAGAATGTAAAATCATTAGCGGCAAGAATGCCAACCCCAAATACACAGCTGCAAAAAGGACACTACTAATCAATCCCAAGCAAATGCATGCTGGATAGGCAAAGACTAGCAGATAGATAACTATTGTTTTAATAATTGGGCCTTTCAAACTATCTGTGATATCATTATATAAACTAAACGGCCCTACTATCCAAAATAGTGCAGCACCAATTAAAATTAATAAGAAGGATATAAACTAGGCTCCAAATGATAGTAATAGATAAATGAATACAAGCTTCCTGAAGCTAACTGATTTGTATTTGTCTCCAATGCATATTCCATAAACTAAGAATTGTTAGATATCCTTATTATGAATAATATGATCCACTGGGAAACCACAACCCCAACAAAAATAATGTTAGCACTTGTAACACTTCATATGAATGCATCCATCATTCTTTTCAATCAGTACTTTGCATTTAGGACACTTTTAAGCATCCTTTTTCAAAATCCAACCAACAGTAGTGTTGTTTTAAAACTATCTACAAGATTAGCCTTAGTGCCAAACTGCTTGACAGTCAAAACAGATTTCATTATTACATTTCTCGCATTTAATCTTAGAGGAAAAGCCAAGCCCTTTTCTTTCTAATATGTTGTGACAATCAGGGGATGGACAGAATTTTTTATTTTTGTCCAAGATTAGCTCATAGTTTAGCATGAATCCAAGGTACTTCTAGAATTTTTCAGAATTTGTCAGATTCTGGATGACATTTCTTGACAAAACAGCTGTACATTTAGAATCAGGGCATTTTAATTTGTTGACTTCTCCAGAAACATCAATGGCATACAATACCATCGCTTCCAAGCACTCTTTGCAATAACTGTGGCCACAGTTTAAACTTAGCAACTGTGAATCATTTTCTATGGGTTTGTAACAAATTTCGCAATAAAGCTTTTCTTCTACTTAAATATTTCTGATTAATTTATTTTCCTTGTGAAGAGGAGCAGTGTTTTTGTTTTAAATAATTGGCCAGTATTTTTATTAATACACTATAAGCATTGATGCCTTATTTTCTAAGTACAAATTTTATTTCTAACGCTCTATATCTCTTTTTAATGGTGAAACTTAATTTTAGAAATGAGATTTCAACCTATTAGCTTGTTTTTAATCAGAATTGGGTTTGCATTTTCCGGTTCTGTCCGCATCAACATCTGAAAAATATTTCTTGTCAACTAATTAATCTAACAACTTATCTCTAACACGGCCTTATTTTATGCAATCAAGATCTCTTGTCTTCTTTTTTCTTTATATTTCTCTGGCTGAAACTTCAAAGGAGGAATATTCACTGGATGAACCTTATTTTTATAGATTGCATCTTTAGATTGCATCACTAGGTTTGATAAGTTATTTTAGTTCTTAACTTTCTAAATCATAATAGCTAACATTTTAGATTAGCTTTTATTCTTCTAAATCAATTGTTTATGAGATAATGTTTTTATTATTCTCTTTTATTGGTTCTTCCTTTGGTTTAAATACTAAAAAGTTTTAGCGCATTGTTTCGGCCAAATTCTCATCCATTGGCAAAATTTCGTATTTTTCATCAGGTTCATTCATTTTATTGTTTATTAATATAGTCGAATTCTAATAAAAATCAAAGTTTCAGTTCGATTAGCTTCTAATTTCAGAAAATAATAAAATAATTAGAAATTCGTCAAAACTTACTAATTCATGATATTTTATATTTTGGGGTTTTGGGGTTTTGGGGTTTTGGGGTTTTGGGG